TTTGCTGAAAGCCTAATCGCACGCTGCGACTCGGCGCGGCGACACGCGCGACAAATGCTCCGGGGAGCATCGGAACATTCATTACCTTGTCTCCTTTTTGTCGCAAGCAACGAGGGTGCGTTCGCGACTGTCAACGTGACAAAATAATCGTCGAATGTATCTCATCACCGCGATGATGGCAGATGGTATTATTGCTGCGCGTGACTCGCGAGACTGCGCGAGTGACGCGCAGGGCGCGCGTCACTGCCTCGTTTAATTCCGCGCTTTCTGGCTTCATGCATCGGTCGCGCGTACACGCACGGTGTGATGCACCGTGCCAGAGAGTGCAGAGAGTCAGTGAATTTCAGGGAATTACAGATGAGCGAGACAAATTATACGCTGGATTACGACGCGATCTTCGTCAGGAGCGCCATTATGCTGTAAGGCGCTCGAGACGCGACGAGAAGAAGGCGTACCCTCGCGAAGGAAACCCGCGCGGCCCCCCACACCCCGTGTTTTATTCATCAGAGGCGGTTGCTACCAAGTTTCCACATCCGCATGAGATTTTTCCCCACACGTACCGCGTAACCATCGAGCAATAAGCCTCTTTCGGGAGGACGCCTGTCAGATCAAGGCGGACTCGATCTCGCCGCTGAGAAAGCTACGGTGTGCGTTACGATCGGACTAATAATGAACGGATCGCGGCCGCCAATGTTACGCAATTTTGCGGTGCAGGATGCCGCCTCAACAAGTACCTCAGGTGTACTTCTCGTTCGCGCAAAAGCCGTCTTTTGCAAGCGTCGCGATGATCGGATTGTTATGCGCGTGGACCACGTGAGGATCACGCGCGGCTTAGACTATTTCGGCCTTCGGGGGACGGCCGGTCACGAAGAGACCGAAACGACGAGATGGACAAGGTTAGCGTGTGCCGAAAAAAAGGAAAAAGATCCGGGAAGTTTCGTCCCCGCTGAGTGGACAGGCGCGCGCGCGAAATGGGAGGACCGGAATGTTGTGTCTCGTTATACGGCTGGATAGGCAGGTAGTTAGGCGCGCTAGAACCAGTCATTCACAAATTTTTCTCTAAAGGTTAACGCCTGCCGTCGACAACCGGCTGGCGTCACGCGATTATTTCACCTTTTTACAGATGCCCGAAAGCACTCAGCGTGCCACGGCAATGCGAATAATTTATAATTGTCTGCGTCATGTCATGGGCGTCAGTCGCGTCGATTTTTCAAACGTTCGCGCGAGCCCGTTTATGGAAAGTGAGTTTATGGGGCGCGTCTCTGAAGGACGAGACGTCTCGGTTGCGCCGTGGTGGTGTAGGTGCGATACACCGCGACGACGACGACGACGACGACGGAGAACGGATGTCGACGCGAGTGTGCGACCGAACGCGGTCGCGCAAAGTGCGACCAGCGAGGAAACAATTGCGAGTGCAGTCGCAACGTGTATTTTCGCAGCACCCGGCATCGGCATCTCAATCCTCTATGAATAATTTCCGCGACATTGGTAATCACGTGATGACGAGCATTTCACCTTTTTATAGGCGCTTAGCGCTATCCGGCAGTTATGCCAATGACAGTATTTAACGTTCAAGGCTCTCACCGCTCTCACGAGAGAGCGGACGAGGTTAACTCCCGTGGACGGGACATATAATAATATTCCGTAAATAACGAATTTTTAATTCCCGCAATAACGACGGCTCGACGTGACGATCGACGTGGCCGTCGTCAGTCCGCTTGAGATTCCTGCGGGGAGAGCGCTCGCGTCGAGATTAATATAATGCCGAAATTGGACCCGGCGAGGAACTTTGCATTACTGCATAAGCCGAGGGAAGAGAGTCCCGAACACGTAGACACGCTGCTCCACGGCGTTATTACGTAACGTCGCGTGAGCTGTAAGCAAACGCGACGGCGCGGCGGCGGAATGTAGCAAATTTCAATCGCGGTGTTGCTTTCGTCGGTGCGGCTTACCGCCGAGAGCCGGTAAACACTCGGCGCGGGCATTGATTGGCATCGCTTTGTTCCTTCGGAAATGAGGTACGAGCATGGCGCACGGTAGCCTGCAAGCCGGCAAGCGGAGATTGATTCAGGGGATACCGACATTGTAGCAATCTGTCATCGCGCGTAATTAAGCCGTCACAACGGCATTTACGCTGTGGACGTAACGTTCGCACCGCTCGCGACGTCCCACTGAGAAAGAGAGGATTAATTACACGTATTCTCTCCGGGGACTCGTGTCGCGGATATGGACTACGGCTTGGCGAAACATCGCGGAGCGTTGCGGGTATGTCAAACGCAGTCGGTACATGATGATTCGGTAACTAATAATATTAAACAACAAACACAGAAAGGTCACAAATATGCCCTGGATGCGTTCCTCGGGTTAGACGATTTTCAACCTAATGCTTGCGGACGTACGGATAAAAATCATACGGCCGGCGTCATATTTCATTATAATTATAACTCATGCAGGGAAAAATGATTACGTTAGAACGACAGAATTTCCAGAGATTATTTTTCCCGCGTATAAACTCAAAAGCGAGGGAACGGCCGGGCGTTTGAGACTCTCGCGCGTAACAGGCCGGAAAATTCTGTCAGAATTAATCCAGCGCGGGATCGTAGCGAGGTTGTATCGGCGATTGACGTACGCGATAACAATCGACAGCGGCACAGTGCGAGCATAATGAAATTAATTGCAGGCAGGATCGCGCGTCGAGCGCAGGATCAGGATTTCATTGAGAAAATCCCGTCGGCGGGAACGGCCGAGCCACATCATTCAGAAACGACTTGCTTGAGTAATGGCTACCGGCGGTGACATAACGCGGCGCATAGTATCGCGCCGCAGGAAGAAACAAAGATTTCGACCGCGTCGACCTCGTGTTCGCCGGCGCGGCGGTGCGGACGGCGACGACGCGTTCCTCTCGCTTTCGCGCTCGTGTCGAGCCCGTGTCTGTCGTCTCTGAAAAACGGCCGCGAAAAGCGGGTTGCGCGATAATTCTTCTTGAGCGCTGTGAGAAATCTGTCTCTTATTTTCGCGCCGAGGGAAAAAAAGAGGAGGATAAAGACGGCCGCGCGGCCTTTCGCGTTCGAGTGAGACGCAGGCTCGTTCGCAGGCAAGGTCGGTGTCGTAACGCGCGCGGATGTCGTGAGGACGCACCTCGTGTCTTTTCTCCCGCGTGTGTACGAATTATCGGCTCGCGGTGGCCGAATAGCGGGGAAACTTTGCCCAACAGGGCAACAGCGACAGCATATTTCAGCAATTCGACGAATTGCCTCGTGAGTGTATATTACGAGTATCCTCGTGTATATTTTATACACGGAGAAAAAGGATCGCCTGCGACATTAGCGCGACATGATGAACGAATCAAACTGACGAAGAAAGAACAGACTTTTTTTTCTGGCTCTTATAAATCTCCTCGCAAGAAGCGGAAATTCGGTTTATTTCAGCCGCAACATACTTGGCTCGTGGTTTGTTCGATCGATTTTTTTCCCCCGTATATATATATCTCACAGCACAGTCTTGCCACTGTAACTCATTATTCTTGTCTACCTTGTCTTGCATACAGGTGTCTCTCTGTTCCCTTCTCTCTGTTGATTGTAATAGTTTTTAGTAAAATTTTAACACGACACACATTGATGTGCGTGTCTTAACTGATATTGTGATAATTCTTCAATCGGTTTTTTCTGCTTACCGACTCTTGGCTCATGATACGACTTGTGGCTCAATCGGTTGTTACAAACACTGACGCAATCTCATTCGTGCAAATTTCGCTAATTTGCAAATAGCGAGCGAAAGGAGTCGACATGCTGGCAAAGAGAGGAACAGAGAAAGAGAGAGAAAGCATGATCGGGGCGTTAAAGTCTCCGGCAGTTTCCGTCACGACAGTCTCCTCCTCGCGATTAATCAGCTTCGATTGCAATTTTACGGCTCGTACGTCCGACGATTAATTTTGCTGCCACATAGCCTCTGCGTTGTCACTTTTGCACAACTGTCCATTATAACGCGCATGGATTACCAAGATTTTAAGCACTTTAGGCTCGTCTGCGACTCTCTCGGCTCTCTCAACTCGCAGGCGACTCCTCCTCTTCCTCCTTCGCGATTCTGTTTCGACAGAACCGAATGTATCGATCTTACACTTTAATTCATGCTTTAACTCACACAATTGCCTATGATTCAAATACCGTGCTGCAAGTCACTTATTGTTTAAAGTGCTTACTTTTGATCGTAGCAAACGTTTCGTTGCGCCTCGACGCGAAAAGGCGAGGACGAAAAGGTTCTACGAAAAACAAAACGAAGCAGATTCGCAGGCGACTCGCAAATCGTGGAGCAGCGGAGCGCATTTCCTACCCATTTGTCGGAGTAATATAACGCGTCTAACGTTTATCGAGATGGTAACGAAGATTAGCACGCGATCATGCGGCGTGCGTTTGTTTCGCAAACCGTGGATCGCGGAGCGCGATCCATCGCTCCAGCATTTTTCACAATTATGCAAACGCCGCGCCGTTCAGCCGCGGGATGACACGCGAAGTCTCCGGCGGAAGCGATTTGATCGTAATTTCATGGCGATTTAAATGCAAAATTTATCTGCCGCTTTCGAGGAAGAGCTCGACGACTCGAGGGCCTCCCGACAAACTGGAATTCGACGCACGCAGGAATATCAGAGAATTTCTGAATATTTCGCATCGCGCCGCGGATTTCTTGAACCGCGGGGAGATTCTTCGCCGACGTCACGGTTGCAATCGTGCATATTGCGCGCATCGTTGACGTCTTGACGACGTCGCGGGCGAACGATGCAGTGTCAACGCGGGTTTCTCGGCGGATTATGCAAGCGGTCGATCTAGGCGTCGCGAAAGGTCAAGACGAATTTCGGTGGAAGACACTATTCCCCCTACTCCCCTCCTCTTTCTCTCTGTCCTTCCTCCCACAGTGCGAGCCGGATGGAATTCAGGCTTTTTCTCTCTTCTTTTTTTTTTTTTCTTCTTTCGAGCACCATTGCGATCAAGGAAAGTGGGGTCTACGGTTTCGTATAAAAGCGCATTCGGATCTCATGACGATCACACTCGAAATCTCATCACGCTTCATTGGACCGGGAGGTTCGAAACACACTCGCACTCGGCAATATGAAATTCCTCGTGAGTTCTTCATCTGCTCTTCAGTTTTTAATTCGCGGTATCGCTAACGAGTCGTCGAGTTAACATCCGATTTAATTTCGGCTCGATTGAGGTTGAATGAGATTTAATTTATAATCAACCGAGAGAAGTCAATAGTTCTTTTCGTCTGTTTCTTGAAAAAATTCCATTCCGTAGCTCTTCCGCCAATTATTCGCAATATTTTAACATATTTTCAATTAACATTTTGTATGAAGCTTTTCGTTCGTTGCGTCGTTCTGTCGCGAATTCACAGACGTTCACTTGCGATAATATCTTCTTGGATTTTCCCAGTCGTTTTCTTTTTTTTTTTTCGATCGTTGTGAGCATTAATTTGTTATGATCTCGTGAATTAATTAACGTCTGGCTAATTTACCGACAGAAGAATGTAGTTAACTGTAATAACAGATCGAACGTAACGAACTAACAAGGAGATTCACGTTAGGAAACGGCGAACCTTTGATTACTCGACACACGTATTAATTCGCTCTATCTCGGGATTATTTAACACGTCGATGATATCTGATTCTTTTGGCGGACTCGCCGCAAAACCTGCAATTTTTTTCGCAGCGCAATGTTGAACGCGACTTTTTGCCTTCTGCACTTTACGGCTGATTACATGATTGATTTTATATAATCGGTGTAAGATAAGCCCATATTTTTTTTTTAATAACGCAACATTGCTCAATCTACGTCGTAAATTACTTAATTGAATAATTCTTTCGTCAATTTCGCTCTCGTTTTCGACCAAAAAGCTGCCACACGTCCCCTTAGACGAAATTCTACAAAGTAATTTCCAAAATAAACGTCTCTTTTAATTGCTCGATAAACTTCATGGTTATCGTGCACGCGTGTTTAAATGTATTTATTTGTTTATAAAGTAGTTTATTGTATTTAAAGTATCAAATTTTCCTGTTGGTCTTCCTTTCTCTTTATCATAGCTGAACATAATTCCAATATCGCTCATCGCTCTCTACCTCTCCACTCTTCTCTTTTTCAGATCGCGTCTCTCGCCCTGGTCGCCGTAGTGACGGCCCAATACCACCAGCAACCAGTGGCCATCCTGAGGCAGGCGCAGGACATCTCGCCCGAGGGAACCTACCACTACCAGTATGAGACCGAGAACGGCATCTCCGCGGCCGAATCGGGCTCGCCGCAGCCTGTAGGACCCAAGGGTGAACCCGCAGTGGTCGCCCAAGGTCAATACCAATACACCGCTCCCGACGGCACTCCCATCGCTGTCAGCTACGTCGCCGACGAGAACGGTTTCCGCGCTCAAGGCGCTCACCTGCCGGTCGCGCCCGCCGTACCTGAGCAGATCCAGAGGGCCGTCGAGTACGTGCTGGCCCATCCGCAACCCGAGTACCAGCAATAAACCACGACGATAACTAGCGATATTTCTTGGATAATGCGAATACCTCTTGAGCCACGTCTATAGATATAGGTTTCTTAATATAAATATAAAGAAGTTTCTTAGAAAACAAGGAAAAGTAGAGTGTCGGATATTCCACTTTTCACTCACCCCGGGGATCCTGGAAAGACCCTGGTGAGATAAGCGGTCTTGTAAATTCTCACTTTCGTCCTGCCGCGCCGTTTTACATTTTCATGGAAACGCGCGAGACGCAAGACAGCTTCGCTGAGTCGAACTCAAAGTCGACAAAGTCCATATCCAGACCTCGCGTTACAGACAGATCATTGACTTGGTGTGATTTTGGAAGTGGCGGAAGAAGGAGCCAGAGACACGGTTCCAATTCGCTTTCGATATCGTCGGGCTGTTTTTCATTATTTACAATTCACGAATTCTGCCTCTCTAGATCGCGCGTAGCGGCGCGTCGTGTTTCGTAAAAATTTCATGGAAACGACCCGCCTGGATGTTTTATGGTGAATATCTTTTCGTAGGCGCCCATCAGATACATTTCTGAGAATCGCTAGCGATTTATTTATTCTTACGTAACCAACGATGTAACCACGTTATACGACGACGCCGCTGCCAGTTTGGCAATTTCGGCGACGCTTGATGGTCCGAATTTCTATTTGTGGAGGGGTGACCCGGTAGAAACGGCCGTGGATGCCCCGGACGACCAGGTGAAAGACGCGACCTTCTCCGTGCGATCCGCGATTGAAACGAAACGCCGCTCCGACGGCGCGCCGTTATATTATTTTTTTCGGCCATGGCGGACATCGAAGTGTCTTTGGGAGGACATTTCGGCGCACATTTCAAGGCGCGATTCCGTCGGGATCGAACGCGAGAGATCCTCCAGCGCGACGGAGCGGGACGTAGGCGGCTAACGATAAATATTAATACGAGCGAGACGATCGCGGTGAAATTCACTCGCGCCAGAAATCACCATCAAGGCTGAAGCATTCTGCGTTCTTTGAATTATCTCGCGATTATGTAGCGATCGTTACGCGACCGATCCGCCGAGCCACAAATAGAAACCACCATCGAGGGTCCCGTATCGGCGCGCGTGTCCGCTCAAAAAGTCTTCTACATTTGAGGAGGAGACTCCGGAAGAGGAAATTACAGACTGTGAGATAACTCTCATTATCGAGATAGTCTCTCGATAGTGAGGATAAATAATGGCGGAGGGGAATGAAATCGAGTAAACAGGGAGGGAAACTCGAGTAGGATTTCGTGCGTTTATCTGTCGCTCTTCACGATTTCTGATAACGGAAGTGGCATAACTAAACGTAATGGTATCATGCCTGACAGCCGCCGTTTATTCCTCACGCGTGCAGAGCGCAATTAGCGTTGATTAACGCCGATCCGACGATTAAGGTGCAATTTTCCGAGGCGACGTCGGGAAATTATCCCTGCTGATACCCCCCGGCCGGTATCGCGGCATCGTTTCAATTATCGCGGCAGATATTCGCCTGGAAATCTCACGACTGTTATGGTATGCACTGTCCGTTAATACAGTCAGCGCGGTAACGATTTTTTCGCGGTCTACCAACGGCGTCGTTGTATCGGCGACGTTGCGTAGTCGAAACGGTTAGATGAGGAGGCTCGATAATAGGGAGGCCCCTCCGTTTCCCGTGCGATGTCTTACGACGGACACGCGAAGCTGGGAAATCATCCATTGAGATTCTTATCCCGCCGGCTTATCGCGATCTTATTACCGGTAACGTGCGCGGCACGAGCGTGAAGCGCAAACCGCACCGAAATTGATCACCGACGAGGCCGATAATTTAATAATAGAGCCGTATATATTGTTCCCCGGGCATCGGTGCGAGCACACGCAAGCGCGCCGATCGAAAGAACGAGAAATCGTCTCTCCGCACGGAGAGAATTTTACAGGAAAAATTGCTACAGATTTTTTTCGAACCGAGAAACATACATACATATCGACAGTCTGCCTTCCCTTATTATTCTTCTATTTCATGAAGAACTGAGGACTATCACTATATGGGAAAATTCATCATGCACTTCAGCAAGATAAGGTCTGTTTTTTTGTTAGATGGTAAGATCAAAAATTTATACGCAAAAATGCTGCATATATATATATATATATATATATAACATTCCATGTTAGCGAATAAAAGAATCAGCGCATGGAAACAAAATGTCGAAATGAATTAACGCGGCAGCGCACGGCGACCAAAGGCAATTTGATTGAAGGGGAAACGGATCCTCCGCTAATGGAGAACCGGATTCACTTCTAAGAGTTAGACATTCCTTCCGCCGAAACGTATTCGGCCCGTTCGTTCATTCAGCCAAACTTTTTCCTCCGTGCGCGACTACGTTCAATCCTCGGCCGAACGTAGTTCTCGAGAATGCGAACGCGCGATATGCGCCAACGCGCTCGCATCCTTCTCGCTTGTGCAGTTCCCTTAGATAGGTCCCCCTGCGCAAAGGCATAATGATAGTAATAATAATAATAATCGATTATTACCGCGCGTGTTTATTTTACGCGCCGATGCTCCCCGTCCATCCTGACCCGACCTCATAGCCGAAAGCGCCCCATAAATACGCAGCGGGTTCCGCACGATCCGCGGGATCACGGAGGACGATTAATTAACCTACTTAACCGCGATAAAAGATCGTCCATGTTCGAAAGGCCGCGCGTGTTACCGTGGCAATTAACCGACGCGCTCTTCGCGCGCAACATGTTAATTAACCAACACGCCGCGGACGATTTCTTTTTTGTCTCTAGTGAGAGCGCGTCAGGGAGATCTCGCTCGCTCCGATCGCTCGTTTCTCGCGGGAACAGAATTGTGATTGGCAATAATAAGCGTTGGCTCAGACAGGGAAAGAGAGAGAGAGAGAGAGAGAGAGAGAGAGAGAGAGAGAAACAGCGGAGAGGAGAGGAATTCCCTGCTCGTTCCCGCCGATATCGGCGTCGAACGGAGCGCGCGCGCGTCTCTAATCGTTGAATCCCTCAGTGGGCGGTCCTGATAGGCACGACCGCGGGAATACCTGAAGATATATGCATATGTCGGTGGGCGCAGATGCACCGCGATGCAGCGCGACGCGAAGAAAGAGGAAATCCACGATGGCGATCTAAGCGTAGGCCACCGTCAGCTTGAGAAGACCAACTTTGACGACGACGACGATGACGACGACGACGACGAGAGGATTATAACGAGCCAATTCCGTTGAGCAACCCTCGCACGCGTTCATAATCGAGGGCTTATTCGCCGTCACGTGCGAAGAGTTATGGCGTATACTCGGGACGTGATCGTTCGCATCGCGGTAGAATCTCGTCGTTATTAACAATCGACGGAGATTCTACCCGAGCGCGATGGCGTCGCCGCTCGATCGAGCGCGATTCCGAGAGCTGAAGGTTCTTGTCGAAACGCGCGCGCCAAGTCGAACACGCAAGAGGAGAATATTATCTCGTGAAACGTTCAACTGCAATTTCAGCTGTTGTCGGATAAAATAATATACCCGAAAGTTCGAATCCATCTCGATAAATGTTCCAGCGAACATCTTACTCCGAGACGCGTCTCTTCTATCGGTGCCAGTTCCATCACAAACGTGGAGCAGTCGAGTAGAGGCGGACGCACATGCTCTCGAGATCGCTTGTATTATTATACGGCGCAATTATCACCGTTTGTACGGATTAATTACGGCTTCGGGTCTGTCAGTTTAGTCGCATTGCAAAATCACAAAGTGCACTTGCGTGGAGCGAACGTTATAATCGTCGTCGCGTAAACACATACACACACACACACACGCGCGCATAAGCGTGTCTATTATAAAATATCCCGTAGTTTCAACCTGTTAATGAACGGTTCATTTTATAATAACAAGCGAGATTAAACCGAGGGATACTCGGAAAAAGAGATCGCGAGAGACCGAAGCGAAACCCCTTGGATGGAAAGGAGAGAAGGGTTACGATCTCTATAACGGTAATTGGAGATCGTATCGAGGGCGGATTATACGGATGAGCCATCCTTTCAACGGGCAGGCACGAATTTACGCCATTACCAAATCGCGCATCATTACATGATTACACTTCATTACGGCGCGTTATAAACACTGAACGTCACGACGTCAGTGACGCGTGACGGCGGCCTCACGTCCGGGCCGAAGGAGAGTTCGATTTTGCGTAACGTGTGACTGATGAGTCCTCAAGATTCCGCTCTGATGAACTTGTAGGAGGAGTCTGCGTTAATCCACGATAATTGATTTCTCAATATGTATATGTATTTTGAAAAAAATAATTCTTTGGTATTAATTGATTGTTTTGGCGACAGCCGACGAAATGAGATCGAGCGAATTGTCGTTGCACGTGCAGCGCCGCTTCGGGAGTGAATGACGATCAGAGTTAAAAGGAGGAAATTATGAGTCAAGATTACGAGTAAGGATTCCTTCTCGGAATTCTCGATCTCTCGTGTTCTGTAGTCGTTAGCGTTAGCGGATGCGCGGATTCCGCTCGGCTTGAATGCGCTTGAGGACGGTGATTGGAACAGTACACACGATAACTAGAATTATTAGGCTCGGACGCGGACTCCTGCAATCGTTCTGGGGGAAAGAACAGCTTGTAACAGCGTTTTAAGTCGGTCCATGAGCAAACGAACGCAGATCCGCACTGAGAGAAAAGTATATGATATTTAGAACTATAATGATATAGTAACTAAATTATAGTCCGAAATATCATATTTATAGTAAGTATTGTACCATAACATCGGTAATAATTACGATATAGGCATAATATAACCAACCATATAATATTTTTACTACGAATTATAGTAAGTTAAACTAAATTATTGTATGAATGCAAATATAAAATGGTAGATAAAAGTAACTCTTTTATATAGTCAATATTACCAGAATATTTGCTAAATGATGACAGATGTAACTATATGAATATTAAATCTCACTATATTTGTGAATGAGAAATTACATATATTATCATATATGTGGTAAAAGTAAGACTAAACAATTATTTAA